AAAATATGAATCACGGGCTAATTCAATGGTCACCGAACACTCCACTACTAAACAATCTGTGGCAAGATAGTAGCGTACTGTATATTTGACCCAGATTTGACAAGCGTGGTACAGTTTTTTGCGCGTGTCCGTAATAACGCGCACAAAGGATTGTGGGACAGAGTCCTTTATTTGCTGGCATTCTTGACTTTTGACTGCAGTTCTTTTTTATATTTTAGAGTAAATGCTTCTGATATGCTCTTAGGTTTCTTAATATCCGTCTGAAATTCTGGACTGTGGTCACATTTTTCGATTAGGAGTTGTATATTTAAATAACTCACCGTGACTAGTGTTTTGCACTAGTCACTGTGGTCCTAGTAATAAACTAAGTGACTTCTAAAGACTGAGTGGTGTTTGCGAACTTCGTATTAGTTATAAACCGACGTTAGCTTCAAGTTTATGTCACACCATGGAAACAACCAAAAACATGTTGCTTGTTTTTGAGCGGAGCGGATCGCCAACCAGCCTACCGGCTTATGTATGTTGTCTGTGACATCATAGATTATTGTGTATGTTGTTTGTAACATCAGAGATTATTGTGTATGTTGTTTATGACATAATATATTATTGTGTATGTTGTTTGTGACATCATAGATTCCTGCGTATGTTGTGTGAGATTAGAGATTAAAATTGTCGATGTCATCTCGTGATTGTAAGCCAAGAATTCTAATGAGGATCAAATCTGAGAAGTGGTTGCACACTAAATAAGTATAAGAACAAACCAACACAAAGTGAAACCAAAATATTTGTTTGAATCAAAACAAAATGAATTGGTTCGCATCATCATACAGTACAGTTCTCGCGGAAGCTTTGGCTTCACTTCAGCTTCACCTTCGCTTCAGCATCGCATCATTATGGCATTGTTATGGCTTCAGCATCGCTTCAATGTCGCGACATTAAAAAGTTAGGCGGTTATCGCTTCGCTTCATTGTGGCGTCATTATGGCGACAATGTGGCATCAGCATCGCTTCATCAAACAAAGAAGTACTCTACTCATTTCCCCCAAACCTCTTGACCGCTTCCGTTTTTGACCGGTCAATTTCCGTTTTATTTTCGACCGTGCAACAATTCGGACTACTAAAAATTTTCTGGTTTTCATAGATCACGGTTACTAGTTACTAGTTTAGTAACCGTGCATAGATGTTGAACAACCGTCAAAAGTTCAAATACTTTTTGTTTTAACTATCTATAATTATATGCACGCAATCTGACCCTTTAACCTAGATTTGGCTGGGATTGAATATTTTATTTTAGACAATATTCCGACGTGACGCACTGCTACAAAATGTATTCAACAGAAGTACAACATGGTTGTCTGGGTTTCTTTTCCTGATTGTGTTGAGTTTACGATTTGTATAATTATTGTTGTTTCCCCCCAAGCAGAAGACAAGCCGAAGGACCATGAAGCTAAATAGAATTCCCACGCATGGACGTGGACTGAGTTAAAGAAAATATTTCTAAGGCTAAAATAAAAATGACCTACTATTACACCTCTTTGTGTATTTGTCAATTTTGTATATATTTGGTATGACCGTATGATCGTAAATACCTCTAGAAAAATCTCGTCTTTCGTTAATAATTTCATTTGTTTGAAATGTCTACCGACCGTAATTTGTTTCTCCAAACGGTCCCGACGTCCGTCATTCAACACAATCAGCATTTATTTATCGCAATTCATGGGGATCATGTCCCGTAATTTGCGGGCTGTAAAACCAAATAATTAAACAAGTACTATTTATTGTATTTTTGTTTTACCTCGCGAAACTACAACAGAGCGTAGAGTTGTCGCGGTTAAATAGTCGCCTAGAAATCGATGGAACTTCAACTACTAGTATCCATTTCTCACCTTGAAATAAAAAAAATCGAAGAGCATCGGGGGATATATTATTAACCAGTCTTACGAATCGCTAGCTTTATTTTATTCGAATTTATAAAATTCACGAGTTTTCGACATTTGTTGGCAACTTCCGCGCTAAAATGGTTGAAAATGTGGGTGTGGTTTTCTCGCAAAGTCCTGTTGATAATACGGACTAATATGGTTCTGTGACCCAGGTCGTGCTCCGATCAGGTGACTCTCAGCCAATCAATGATGTTGTAACAAAACATATTTAACGCAAATTGAAAGGGTCGTCGTACCATTCAATCTCCATCGTCGATTCACAAAGTTTTTTTTTGTGCTGTGACAGCTTCGCAATTATTCACTGAAAACATCGGTATATTTCGACAAATGGATGGGATTTTACCTCAGTTCAAAAAAAAA